AAATATCCGAACGTCAAGTCCGGAGCCTGACTCGAAGCAGCCTGGGGCTGAGAGGATGACGACCCGTCGTGACGACTCTTGGTTCTTCTCTCGGAATGGGTCACTGGCAGCTTTGAAACACGTCGAGAGGTCATTGTGTCACACTATTAAACTGAAAAAATAACCAAAATCAGAAATTAGATACATGTTAGGGTTAGGGTTAGGGTTAGATTCAGGGTTAGGGTTAGGGTTAGGGTAAGCGTATGACATAGAAATTGATAAAATAATTCGGACAGAATCAAATGATATAAACGAAAATACAATGAATCAGAACAGAAATCATAACATAATTGAAAAAACTGAAGAAAAAAAATGCACCTTTGATCGATTTCAATCGGTAGAAGGCAGAGAGGTTGCAAGGTCCGCGAATGATGATCAGAAACAAGACGAATTGGTGCAAGATTATGCCTGAAATCACTCCTCCAGCAGCTCTACTCGGGTACCCCTTTTGTGGGTTTTCGAAATGGGGCTGCTGGGGTATTTTAAAACCCTACCGTCGATGTTTACCCGGGTACACTGCTCCATACCCGGGTAAATAATTCAACCATTTTCCCAGATTCAAGAACTCTACCCGGGTACACCCCTACATACTCGGGTAGATAAAAAGTTTCAAAAATTACCCGGGTAGGTAATGGTGTACCCGGGTAGGCTTCGTGGTCAACGGTCAAACAGGGGCAGATTGATGTTATGTTTGTTGGGGAGGGTAAATTTTCGAAATAGTTTTGAATGAAGGGCAATTTGGTAATTAGTTATTAATTAAGGGTCATAAGGGTCAAAAGGCCGTTATCTATGGACTATGATTATGAGGTATTCCTCCTAGAGCATTCATTAATTCATAACTTGCATATTCACGGTTGTCTTTTTCTTTTTTACAAACCATTTGTATCTGGTCACATTGAGTAATCCAGGTTTGAGCTGTGTAAGTTCACGAGTTGTATTTTTAGGAATTCAACTCGAAATTACTAATTAAGATAAAGTAATTTTGTGTCAATTAATCCACATGTATGGTAATTGAGCATCACCATTGATCAACTCGAAATTATCTAGTATTAACTTACATTATATATTTCCAATATGTCAATTGAGCATCACCATTGATCACCAAACTATAAGATCCAACAAAGTGTATTCTTGTATTTCAGATATCCTTGATAAACACATGTAATATTATTGTGTAGTGAAATATGTTTTTAAAGTATAATAATTAACTCAAAGTTCATAATTGAAGCTATGTATAAAAATTTCAATTTACCAAAAATTAAAAGTTTATTATCATAAACTTTTAAGAAAAAAAGTGATTAAAGGATGATGTTTTCAAATACTCACATTATAACTCAAATCTTATTTAAGCGAAAAAAAATTAATGCAGTATGAAGGTGCTTTTTAAGCTTCTAATTATTAAAGAAACTTGGAAGAACGTCACAATCTTGGGAGCAATTATGCGTATAAGAATTGAGTTATAAGAAAAAAATTAGATTGACAAAATATTAAAATCAGATGCACTTTATATAATCATCAAATTCTTTTAAGTCTTATTTTTAACTTTAGTTTAAAAATAACTTTTAGTTTAAAAAAAATTGATGCAATCATTAATCTTTATCCACAATCAATTCTTTTAGGGCTTGTTTGGAGCACTTATCATATCTTATTTTTATTTATTGTTTGGTGGATCAATATGATATGATTAGTTTATCATATTGCTTCATTTTATCCTATTCAACACATGATAACTTGTCATGTTGGGGAAGCTAGGTTAGGATTGGATAGAATAGCAATGATGTCTCATATCATCTAAAAAAATGTAAGTTTCACTCGACCAACAACGTCTAACCTTTCCACTTTTAGCAAACGACGATGAGCGACTAACTTCCGGTGGAGATTCTCTTTGTTTTAAGTCTCTTTATTTTAAGTTATCTCCGTTTTTCTTTTCTTCTTTTTTCTTAAACTTTTCTCTCTGTTTTCTACTCTATCTTTTTCTACCAATCTCTGTTTTTGCTTAACATGGATTTGGAGTTGGAACTCTGGTATTATGTCATGGAAGTATCTAAAGTTATATGGAATTTTTTTCTCAAGAACTTTGCCTATAGTTCCTTTATTATTGTTGCATGCCACCTATTTGAGAACCTTGGTTATTAATGACATTTTGCTCTTTTGGTAAGCTGGTTATTAGTAACTTTATTACTCTAATTACTTGAATTGAATGAAACATGATTTTTGAATGATACAAAAGTTAATAGTTAAATGAAACATCATTTTTGAACTATGATACATACAATATAGGAGACAATTTTTAATGCTTAATTTTTTAAATTTATTTAGTGAGGATATAATTTTTAATATTGTAAATTTTTTTGAAAGTTATTTATGTATTTTATTTAAAATTATAATTTTTAAATTTTAAAATAATTTAAAATAAGAAATAATATGTAAATAAGAAAAAAAAAAGTTTAAAAATATCATCTGAAATTATATTATTGGGGGTATTTCTATCTTTTTGTGTGTGGTGTATTTCTATCTATTTATATTATATCATGCACAATATGGTTCACCCCAAACTCTAGATAGGATAACATTATCTTATCAAACTACTTGTCCAGTACACATTAGACTCATAAGATGTGCATGATAACTTTTTCGGAATATTTTTTTTTGTTCGCGGGAGCTGAAATGGATAGAAAACTCATTTGGTAAAATTGGTTTATTTTTTTGTTCTCCGGATTAATCGGTTTAATTTTTATGCTGGGGAATAGAAAAAAAATTATTATTTTTATTTTCGGGCACAAAATGAGATACAATTACTGCTCTCAGCCTCTCACCACCTATGATGCACGGACACGGTTACGGGACATGACACGCCGACACGTTAATTCTAAAAAATATCATATTTCGACACGTTAGGCCACGTTTTGCTATTAAATAAAATTTTTAATATATATAATATAATTTATATTTAATACATATAAAGTCCATAATAAGTCATATAACCAATCAAATATTTAAATTTCATAACATAAATATAAATATAAATATAAATAATTTTTCGTACTCTGTTAACTTTTCATGTCAAATTTCATAAGACAAAAATTAATTTATAAATTATTTCTTTTATATTTAGGTAACAAAATAAAATTAAGATTTAAGAAAAAAACGTGTCCGAGCATGTCCGAAAACGTGTCCGAGCGTTGACTACGTGTCGGAAAAAGTTGCCTGCGTGTCAGAAAAACATGTCAGAACGTGTCGGAGAGTTGACTACGTGTCAGACGCGTGTCCAAGCGTGTCCGTGTCGAATACGTGTCCGACAAGCAAATTTTAAAAAATTTGCGTGTCCGTGCTTTCCAGGTCACCACCACCACCATGCCATAAGCACGCGACCGCCACCACTGCCACCATTACCACCATCACACTATCGCCGCCGCCGCTACCACCACCATACCATGTGAAAAAGAAAATGATGATCCAGAAATTTTTTATGCTTGATAGGAATTATTTTTATTATATTATTTGTTGTGTTATCAAATGCAATTCTTATTTTCGGAATAAAAATAAAACATATTATTAAACACATTTTTTTTTCTCAAAAATTATTTCAAGACATACAAATAAAAAAAATTATTTCTTTTAAAAAATAATGCCACAAAACAGAATAATTGTTATGTATACCCATAATTTCATATCTTATCTAATTCTCTTTTTCTATCTATTACTATCATATTATATCCACCAAACCAACCGTTAAAATATATTAATTGAAAAAAGCCGTTACTGTTTAAAATTCGAATCAGGAGCTGAATGGCACAATCGTCATTTTGACAAAGATATTGTACATTTTCATTGGATTCCCAAAAGAACTGGACCCACTACTTGACTTGGCTTGACTCTGGTTCAAGCATCAGTGTGCTCTGTGTCCGCAATAGCAACTTCTTCACTAGCTCACGCGCACTATCTACTTTATTTTGTTTTGTTTCCACTCTCACGCCTCTCTCTCTCTCTCTCTCTCTTAGGGCTTCTGCTTTCACTGCAATTCTTCTCGGTAGTTCTCATTTGTAACTAGTTACCTTCCTCAACGCAAACCATCATTTCTTCGCATTCATTATGCATTGTTATTTTTACATGCAAAGTTTTATTTTATTTTTCTCTCGTTGCAGGATGCTGAAACCAGAGTCTTATCTTTCACTTTGTGTTTGTATCTGCTCTCTGCATTGTTGTTTTTGGTGAATCGAAAGGGAGGTTAGATCTGTGGGAAAATGTCGTCGAGGGCGGGGCCGTCTGAGCCACCACAGGGGCCGCCGCAGAGGCGGATCACGCGGACGCAAACTGCTGGGAACCTTGGTGAGGCGACATTTAACAGCGAGGTCGTGCCTTCATCTCTTGTTGAGATTGCACCCATACTTCGCGTTGCTAATGAGGTTGAGAAGACACATCCCAGAGTTGCTTATCTATGTAAGTTATTCTTATTTTACATTCTCAACTGTTATGTTTTGGCTTTGCTTGATTGAAAGAAACTCGTGTTCACTGAGATGTGTCTCGTGGAGTTGTGGCTTTTGTTATGTTGATTAGGATGTAGTTTCAGTATAGTATAACTCACTGTCTCAATGCAAGCCACAGTAGCATAAGCTCATGCACGATTTACTATGTTTCCATGCAAAGTCCATTTACTATGTCTTTTGTGCGGTTTCATGCGGGATACAAAGATGAAATTCTATACGTGCTACTACTTAGTTTTGTATCTGTGCATTTCCTGCATAGGCTTTTGTTAAGTTTTCTAAACCTTTGTTTCCTGAATAACTCTTCATTGTGTGCCATATAAGCACCTTCATTATTTATTGGTGCTATTTCTATTCGAGGGATGTGTATTTTGCTCTTGTAGGCCGGTTTTATGCATTTGAGAAAGCTCATAGGCTGGACCCCGCTTTCAAGTGGTCGTGGTGTTACGGCAATTTAAAACTGCCCTTCTTATAACCATGAGTGGAAAGTTGGCAATAGAGATCTAACATGCATTAGAAGTTGAACATTTAATGCTTTCTGTCTCGGTTGCTCCTATCAAGATTCTGAGGTGGCAATGGCCTCAACATTAATTTAAAGTATTTCTTGTTAATTAAATATATCTTTTATCATTTTGTTCCATTTTTTGTTAGGAAAATGATCCAACATTGAAAGGAAGGGTAAAGAAAAGTGATGCTCGTGAGATGCAGAGTTTTTATCAGCATTACTACAAAAAATATATTCAAGCTTTACAAAATGCTGCTGATAAAGCTGATCGGTATGTTGTCTAGAATAGATAATGTGCAATAGGATATGTTCTGTGACTAGTGGTGACTTTGTCTTCTTACTTTCAGTGCACAGCTTACCAAGGCATATCAGACTGCTAATGTTCTTTTTGAGGTTTTGAAGGCTGTTAACATGACACAATCTATGGAAGTTGATCGTGAGGTTATCTTTTCTAGCTCCTATGATGTTATCTTCCTATTGTTGTTCCCTTTTATGTGAACCTTTATCTGTATTTAATTTAGCTGTTTATAATTTGCATTTGCTTTATAATTTTGATTTTCCTTTGTCTTTATGCTTCCGCCATTGGCATTGTAACAGATTTTGGAGACTCAAGATAAAGTTGCTGAGAAAACCGAGATCTTAGTTCCGTATAATATTCTTCCTCTTGATCCTGATAGTGCAAATCAGGCCATAATGAGATTTCCTGAGGTATGATCTCCAGTTTCATATATGTGTGTGATATTCTGGTCATCTTTTTTCGTTTGTAATAAAAATACATATACATCACTCTTCACAGATCCAAGCTGCTGTATTTGCTCTTCGTAACACGAGGGGTCTTGCCTGGCCTAAGGACTCCAAGAAAAAAAAGATGAGGACATTCTGGATTGGCTTGGGGTAATGTTTGGGTTTCAGGTAAATTACAGTCTGAAGCTGGTAATCTTTTAATGTATCTGAGTCTTGTATTTTTTAGTAGAACATGACTTCTTCATCACTAACAAATCCAATGGGACTTGTTTGCCACCTCTTGTAAAAAATACAGAAGCACAATGTAGCAAATCAGAGAGAGCATTTGATCTTATTGCTTGCAAATGTGCACATAAGACAATTTCCCAAGCCTGATCAACAGCCAAAGGTCAGGGTTTAATTGGATCATTTTTTTCCTCTCCTTTTTGATTTAAATTTCTGTACAGAATGTTGTGTTTTTTACCTCCATTTTTTAATATATATTAAAGGGAGCACCTAGTGCTTTTAATGTGTTTTTTAGTTTCATATTGAAGGTGGGTTCTCTATGGCATTCTCAATTTAGTCATAAAGTTGAATGATGAATACACTTTCTTACTGCTAGGAGGGTGGGGGAAGGATTTAGCTCTGGATGATTATGATGGAACCAGACAAATGCAACAACAATTTAACAGTAAATGAACAGGAAAAAATACTTCTATTACTCATCTCAAGAGATCCCCAGAGATCTTTTTCCCAATTCCCATTTCAGTGAATACATACCTCCCTACTACACACTGCCTACATTTTATCTTACTCACAGAATATTCTAGAATAACTAACTAACTTGACCATTATTCTTTAGGCCCATCAGATTTCAATTTCTATTGTTAAAATGGCACTCTCACACGAAGTTGTCAATTTGCCGCCGTAAATTAAAATAATCAGGTTTATAAAATCTTTGTAGTA